CTAACCTCACTCAGAATGATGTTCTCCAATTCCATCCATTTACCAGCAAATGATAACATTTTGTTCTTCTTCATGGCTGCATAAAATTCCATTGTGTATAAATACCACATTTTCTTTTTTTTTTAAATTTTATTATTCATATGTGCATACAAGGCTTGGGTCATTCTCCCCCTTGCCCCCACCCCCTCCCTTACCACCCACTCTGCCCCCTCCCTCTCCCCCCCACCCCCTCAATACTCAGCAGAAACTATTTTGCCCTTATTTCTAATTTTGTTGTAGAGAGAGTATAAGCAATAATAGGAAGGAACAAAAGTTTTTGCTGGTTGAGATAAGGATAGCTATGCAGGGCATTGACTCACATTGATTTCCTGTGCGTGTGTTACCTTCTAGGTTAATTCTTTTTGATCTAACCTTTTCTCTAGTTCCTGGTCCCCTTTTCCTATTGGCCTCAGTTGCTTTTAAGGTATCTGCTTTAGTTTCTCTGCGTTAAGGGCAACAAATGCTAGCTAGTTTTTTAGGTGTCTTACCTATCCTCACCCCTCCCTTGTGTGCTCTCGCTTTTATCATGTGCTCAAAGTCCAATCCCCTTGTTGTGTTTGCCCTTGATCTAATGTCCACATATGAGGGAGAACATACGATTTTTGGTCTTTTGGGCCAGGCTAACCTCACTCAGAATGATGTTCTCCAATTCCATCCATTTACCAGCGAATGATAACATTTCGTTCTTCTTCATGGCTGCATAAAATTCCATTGTGTATAGATACCACATTTTCTTAATCCATTCGTCAGTGGTGGGGCATCTTGGTTGTTTCCATAACTTGGCTATTGTGAATAGTGCCACAATAAACATGGGTGTGCAGGTGCCTCTGGAGTAACCTGTGTCACAGTCTTTTGGGTATATCCCCAAGAGTGGTATTGCTGGATCAAATGGTAGATCTATGTTTACCTTTTTGAGTAGCCACCAAATTTTTTTCCAGAGTGGTTGTACTAGTTTACATTCCCACCAACAGTGTAAGAGGGTTCGTTTTTCCCCGCATTCTCGCCAACACCTGTTGTTGGTGGTGTTACTGATGATGGCTATTCTAACAGGGGTGAGGTGGATTCTTAGCGTGGTTTTAATTTGCATTTCCTTTATTGCTAGAGATGGTGAGCATTTTTTCATGTGTTTTTTTGCCATTTGAATTTCTTCTTTTGCCCATTTCTTTATTGGTTCATTAATTTTGGGAAAATTTAGTTTTTTAAGTTCTCTATATATTCTGGTTATCAGTCCTTAGTCTGATGCGTAGCTAGCAAATATTTTCTCCCACTCTGTGGGTGTTCTCTTCAGTTTAGAGACCATTTCTCTTGTTGAGCAGAAGTTTTTAATTTTATGAAATCCCATTGATCTATGCTATTTCTTAGTTTCTGTATTGCTAGGGTTTCCATTGAGAAAGTTCTTGCCTATACCTATTAATTCCAGAGTATTTCCTACTTTTCCATTATCAACTTTAGAGTTTGGGGTCTGATATTGAAATCTTTGATCAATTTTGAGTTAATATTGGTATAGGGTGATATACATGGATCTAGTTTCAGATTTTTGCAGACTGCTAACCAGTTTTCCCAGCAGTTTTTGTTGAAGAGGCTGCTATTTCTCTATCATATATTTTAGTGACTTTGTCAAAGACAAGTTGGTTATAGTTGTGTGGCTTCATAGCTGGGTCCACTATTCTGTTCCACTGGTCTTCATGTCTGTTTTTGTGCCAGTACCATGCTGTTTTTATTGTTATTGCTTTGTAATATAGTTTGAAGTCAGGTATCATGATACCTCTAGCATGTTCTTTTGACTGAGTATTGCCTTGGCTATTCATGGCCTCTTGTGTTTCCATATAAGTTTAATGGTAGATTTTTCAATCTCTTTAATGAATGTCATTGGAATTTTGATGGGAATTGCATTAAACATGTAGGTAACTTTTGGGAGTATCGACATTTTTACTATGTTGAGTCTACCAATCCATGAGTATGGGAGATCTCTCCACTTTTTATAGTCTTCCTCAATGTCTTTCTTCAGAATTTTATAGTTTTCCTTGTAGAGGTCTTTCACATCTTTTGTTAGGTTTACACCTCAGTCTTCGATTTTTTTTTGAGGCTATTGTAAATGGAATTGTTTTCATACATTCTTTTTCAGTTTGTTCATTGTTAGTGTATAGAAATGCTAATGATTTTTATATGTTGATTGTATATCCTGCTACCTTGCTATAGCTATTGATGATGTCTAGAAGCTTCTGGTAGAGTTTTTTGGGTCTTTAAGGTATAGGATCATGTTGTGTGCATATAGGGATATTTTGAGAGTTTCTTTACCTATTTGTATTCCTTTTATTCCTTCTTCTTGCCTAATTGCTCTGGCTAAGAATTCCAGTACTATGTTGAATAGGAGTGGAGATAGTGGGCATCCTTGTCTGGTTCCTGATTTTAGAGGGAATGGTTTCAGTTTTTCTCCGTTAAGCATAATGCTGGTTGTAGGTTTGTCATATATAGCTTTTATAATGTTGAGGTACTTTCCTTCTATTCCTAGTTTTCTTAGAGCTTTTATCATGAAATGGTGTTGGATCTTATCAAAGGCTTCTTCTGCATCTATTGGGATGATCATGTGGTTTTTGTCTTTGCTTCTTTTAATGTGGTTTATTACAGTTATTGATTTTCGTATGTTGAACCACCCTTGCATTCCAGGGATGAAGCCTACTTGGTCATGGTGAATGATCTTTTTGATGTGTTGTTGAATTCGGTTTGTCATTATTTTATTGAGAATTTTTGCATCAATGTTCATTAAGGAGATTGGCCTGTAGTTCTCCTTTTTGGAGGTGTCTTTGCCTGGTTTTGGGATAAGTGTAATACTGGCTTCATAAAATGTGTTTGGCAGTTTTCCTTCCCTTTCTATTTCGTGGAACAGTTTAAGGAGGGTTGGTATCAGTTCTTCTTTAAAGGTCTGATAGAATTCAGCAGAGAATCCATCAGGTCCTAGACTTTTCTTTTTGGGGAGATTCTTGATTGTTGCTTCAATTTCATTTTGTGTTATAGATCTATTCATTGTGATTAATATCCTCTTGGTTCAGTTTTGGATGATCATAAGTATCTAGAAATCTGTCCATTTCTTTAAGATTTTCTAATATATTTGAATATAGGTTCTCAAAGTAGTCTCTGATGATTTCCTGGACGTACATGGTGTTTGTTGTTATCTCCCTTCTTGCATTCCTGATTCTACTAATTTGGTTTTTTTCTCTCCTCATTTTAGTCTGGTTTCTCCATTTAATGTGAAGTGGAGATGCTATGTGCAGGCTGGAGGTGTGGAGGAGTCAAAGTTTTGCCTCTTCTGGGTGGTTTTTCCTGTAGTGTGTATATCCAGTGTCTCTCCAAGATTTTACTTTAGGAGGCACACTTTCTGCTTCCTCCCTCTAGCTACCATCTTGGAATTCCTTTCACTATTTTTATTGGATTATTTGTTCTTTTATTTTTAATCTGTAATTGTTCTTTAACATATATTGTGTAAAGATTGTTCTTCCCGGTTGTATTACTTGAAGTCAGGGCCTCAGTCTTGCTATGCAGGTGCTCTACCACTTGAGCCACTCCCAAAACTTAAAAGCATTTTTCTTGTTCAACATGTTGTCCTCATTTTCTGTATAATATCCTTTAAATAACAAGTTTACTTTTTTTCATGATGTCTAATTTACTACTTTTTCTATGGTTTCTTCTGTTTTGGGCATCTTATTTGAGAAACCATAGGAAATTCCAAAGTCACCATTATTTAGTCTTTTGTGTTTTCTAATATTTTTATACTCTTAGCTGTACATTTATTTCATTGGCTTATTTTTAATTATTTTGTGTATTTTGTGAGAAAAGTTTCCATGTTAACTTTTTAAAAAATGATGCTATTTGTCCCAGCATAATTTGTTGAAAATGCAATTTCCTGTCAAAGTGTCATGATCACTTCCAGCAATATAATTTTTTGTATAAATGAGGTTTTTCTGGATTGTCAATGTCATTCCATTGACCTACATATCAGTATTTACAATGGTACCATGTTTCCTTATTATCATAACATTATAGTCAGTTTTCATGAAGGGAAATATGAACCTTCCAACTTTATTTTCCTCTTTCAAGCTTTTTCTGATGATTCAGTGTTCCTTACATTTGAGATGTTGTTCGGGATTGAGTATAGTATTGACATTTTCACAATGTTTGATTCATGAACACAGGATGTCTTTCCATTTACATAGGTCTTTAATTACTTTCAATAACTTTTGTAATTTCATGTGCAATACAGTTCTTTTATGATATTTATTCCAATATTTTATGATTTTTCATGATTCTGTAATGGATTTTATGATTGTCGACTTTATCTGTTGATCTTGTGTCATACCAACTACCTGAACTATTTAAATTAGTTCTAATAGTTTTTCATTATATATTCCCTAGAATTTTCTATATACAAGATTATGTTATTTAAAAGTAAAGATAATTTTATTGCTTGCTTTAGAATTTGGATGTCTTTGATTTCCATTTTCTTGTCTGATTGCTCTAACCAGAACATCAAGTATAATGTTGAATACAAGTGCAGTAATGGCACATCTTGTTTTGTCAATGAACTTATGGGGAAAGTCTTTCAGTCCTTCACCAGTAAGTATAATATTGGTTAGGGTTTGTTTGTTAATTATGCTCTTATTTTAACATACAAAGGTACTTACTCTGTAGAGTTGTTGGGAGGGTTACAAATAAGGCATGAAAAGTTATTTGCACACTCCATCACTTTTCAGCTCTTTCTCTGGTGTTCACAGGGTACTGATAACTGTTCTTACAGCATAACACAAATGAGGAGCATTTCTAACATTTATTCACAGGGGATGTCAGAGAAATGAGATATCTGGTTGAAAAATCTTGAATTCTGTTTCACACCTCAATGTTTTGTGGGAAAATAAAAGCTTACCTAATTTTTTTTCTTCTTTTCTATGTAGAATTTTCCAAAGAATATGCCAGAGGGAAATTACTCCACAGTGACTGAATTTATCCTTGCTGGGCTGTCAGAAAAACCAGAGCTCCAGCTGGCCCTCTTTCTCCTCTTTTTAGGAATCTATGTGGTTACAGTGGTGGGGAACCTGGGCATCATCACCCTGATTGGGCTCAATTCCCATCTGCACACCCCCATGTATTTTTTCCTCAGCAGTCAGTCCTTCATTGACCTTTGCCATTCAACAGTCATTATCCCCAAAATGCTGGAGAACTTTGTGACAAAGAAGAATATCATCTCCTATCCAGAATGCATGACTCGACTCTACTTCTTCCTTGTTTTTGTAATATCAGAATGTCACATGTTGGCTGAAATGGCCTATGACCACTATGTTGCCATCTGTAACCCCCTGCTTTACAAAGTTACCATGTCTTATCAAGTCTGCTCATGGATGGTAATTGGGGTATATAGCATGGGCTTGGTTGGTGCCACAGCTCATACATTTTGCATGCTAAGAGTGATTTTCTGTAAGGCAGATATCATAAACCATTACTTCTGTGATCTTTTTCCATTACTGGAGCTCTCTTGCTCCAGTACTTTTATCAGTGAAGTAGTAGTTCTGTGTTTCAGTGCTTTTAATATACTTGTTCCAACCCTGACCATCCTTGGCTCTTACATCTTCATTATTGGCAGCATCCTCCAAATTCACTCCATTGAGGGCAGGTCCAAAGCCTTCAGCACCTGCAGCTCCCACATTTCTGCTGTTTCAATCTTCTTTGGTTCTGCTGCATTCATGTACCTGAAGCCATCATCAGTCAGCTCCATGGACCAAGGGAAAGTGTCCTCTGTGTTTTACACCATTATTGTGCCCATGCTGAACCCCATAATCTATAGTCTTTGGAATAAGGCTGTCAAAGTTGCCCTAAGTAAGTTGCTGGACAAAAGAAGTTTTGCATGAAAAGGAGCATATTTCATTAGCAAAAACTTTATTTTCTGGAGATTTGGTGAAGAAATTGTACAGAGACAGTAATGCATGCCCACAAATCATGAGATTACTGTTAATACTTAACTATTTGAAAGAAGGATGCCAAAAATAGGGTTAGATTCACAGGATCAGACCCATGGAAGACAGAACCTCTCCAGGATGCCCCAGACTCTATCCATACAGAGTAGGCTGCATCACTTCTACACATTTATTAAAATTCATCAAAGCCTTCTTTTGGTTGAATATACTTTACCTATATGGAACATGGCTCTATTCAGTAGAGATTTATTTATCTTATTGCAGGAAATATGTACTTTTATTCAGTATCTTTTGATATTCTCAATATTTTTTTTTACTTTGCCCTTTTAACTAAGCATGCTATCAAAGATACCATTGTGGTCTCTAAAATAATTAATTTTAGCAAGTCATTAAATTCTTATCAGTAAATATGGAAATACATGATGGTTGATAAGATAGATCCTATGTACAAAAAGATAGCACTATAATGAAAAAGACTGACAATCTGAATAGCACTGTTTACATTATGTGTATTTTTGACATTTAATTATATTACATGTCTCATATATGATATATAGTATACATATATGTATATATACATAAGTATGTGTGCTTTATATTTCTTTATCCAATTTTGGGACTCTGTCAGTTCCTCTATTTTCCCGACAGTTCTGTTTTTGTTCTCCCTATTCCAAAGAGATTTTCTTTTGCTTTTTCTTCCAACCCGCATTGTAGAATCTCAGATTCAGAAGTGACTTTTTTTTACTATTGCATTCATATTGATTATTAATTCACATGGAAATGCTAAAATTGGAAAGTCATTGCTGACTACTGACAAGTATGCTTCCTACCCAAAAGCTTGCTATAAATTCTAGAAAAAAAAGTGATTATTTGACAGATCTTACAGGGGAGTTTAAAACAATAAGTTTCCATTTCTTCTACTCATCCAGTTAAGCTCCTACTGTTATTCTTGAAAGCAGGACTTAGTTCTGGGAGGTAATTGTCCCCATCAGCAAGTCTCAGCAGTTCTTGGTGAGAACCATAGGTTGTTCAGCTTTCATCCCTCTCCACCTGGTGATGGCAGAACCTAGATAACTTTTCTTATCTCTCCCTAGAACAGCTTCCCACTCTGTTATAGACCAGATATTTCCTTTTATTTTAGAGCTATCTCCAGATGATGGTTTGTGAGCATATTCTGTATATTGTTCTAAGCTTCAAAGCCTTCAAAATGTTTTATTAGGAAGACAAACCTAGATGTCTCCAAATAACAATGTGCTCTTTCTGCCCCTTTATTAGGGCTCTATATTCTCCTTGTAACCGACCTGAGCATTTCAACCTGGTTATAAACATCCATCTCATCTAGCAGGTATAAAACAGTACTTGGTTTGTTGTGTCTGCCATCAAATATGTGACAAGATCACCTCTGTTCCATGCTGCCTTTATCTCACCCCACAACACCAAAACTTAGAATGATTGAGGAGATTTTCTGTGTACTAAATAGCTCTTATCTTCATAATCCAATTTATAAACCTAAAAATTATCCACATGTACCTATCCATCTATGGATATATATGTCATTTGATACATATGTGGGTATGCTAACATACAACACATGTAAATGGATTATATCTGTATTACTTGGCTGTGTTATACAAGGTTTATGTGTATGTAATGTTCATTTATTTATTTAATTTTATTGCTTTTACATTTACTTATATGGGTATACATTATTTGGGCCACCTCCCCCACTCACTTCTGGGAAGAACCTGTTCCATCCTCTGGTTCTTCAATTTTGTTGCAGAGAAAACATAACAGATAATAAGAACAATGTTACTCTAGATATTAAATAAACAATATCCAGTAAGAGTTTTTTCACATTAATGAGTGCTAGATAGAAAAAAGGTATGAAATGTATGAGTAAGCCAGGCTCAGAAGAACAAAGATTACATGTTTTTTATCGTATGTGAAAGCTAGATCTATAAAATAAATGTACACATAAATGCATATACAATCTTGTATACATACATAGATATATGGAGATATACATACATATACATTATATGTGGAGTTGGAAAAGAAATAGAGTAAAAGTATTAAAACACATTGCATCTATGTATGAAGATAATATGCAAAGTACTGTAAGCTGTTGAATAGCAAGGGAGCAGGGTGATAGAGAAAGTGCAAGTTATAGGGTTAATGTGATAGAAGCACAATATACATGTCTGAGATGCCCCTTGAACAATAAATATACATTTGTTAAAATGAAAGACTAGAAAATTCAACAGATCCTGTCCAGGGGTGGGGATCAGTGGGAAGGTGGAAGGCAAAAGAGAAGGTGAAGGAGAGTGAATATGTTTGGATGTATTTTGTATTCCTATATGAAAATAAGAGAAAAAAACCTGCTGAAATTGTTCTAGGAATGGGTGATGAGGGAGAATAATGGAAGGTGTTAATGTAATTAAGATCTATTATAAGCACATATGATATATGTTACAATGTATCCCTCTGTACAACTATTATGCTAATACATTTTAAAAAGCGATAAAGTAACCTAAGATTCATGACCCAGCATGTCCTCTTGTTTTATAATAAAGTTATTTTTTTATAAACAGAAGGAACACAGTCTAAAATAATGATTAAAGGTATATTATAAGGGATATAAACAAACAAGCTAATCAATTTTTATCACTATCAACTGTTATATACCTAACATAATTGTATGTGCTATACTTGTACATGACTGGCAGCCCTGTAGATTATTTATATAGACATCACCACAAACTGGTGATGCAGTTTGCTATGACATTATGATGGCAATGATATCACAACAGAAATTTTTCAGAACCATGATGATTTAATAGGACCACCTCATAAAAGTGGCCTGGTCAGTCACTGGCAGAAACATTTTTGGGTGATATATGACTGTAGTATAATTCAACTTGAGTAGAGGCTACTTCATAATCAGATATCACCACACAAATGTCTGTCCTTGTGAGTTTGGTTTGCCAACCATTACCCAATATTGATTCTCACCTTCTTTTCATACTAATAGAAATCCCAAGTAGAGCCAACTGTGGCTATTCAGAATAAAGACATTTCCCTGCCTCCCTTTAACTACCTTGTCACTATGTCCTAGAAAATGGGCAGCAAGAAATCACAAAAAGTAATGGAATAGTTAGAAACTGGAGAAATGATGGGCTTGGCAGGCCAAAACTCTGAAGTCTCTAGAGAATAAAGGAATCAGTGAGAAATCTACCCAAGACAGAAAAATGAAGTAGTCAGGAGTGATTTACAAGCTCTTTGAATCCCAATTCCTTTAATGATTGTCTTGATTACTGTGTATCATTCTGTGACTCTGAAAATCTCTAACCAATCAGCATTTAATTGCTCCCTATACTCAGAGGGCTCCTCTTCCCTGAATCATGGGACCATGAGACCATTTTAAATCCCACCAAGTTAGAAGATTTTTTTTGCTTCCATTAACTCAGAGGAATTCATCCTTAACAACTGGACAGCCACCAGATGTAGAGGATCTTCCTTTTCTGTGACTCTGAAGGAAACATAGTTCTTGATGTCTGCAGCTAGGAAATGCAAGCCCAATTCCACATCAGATAGAACAGAAAAGATGATTGGAATGGAGACCACACAACTGTGTAATTAACATAATCACATTTCACTCTGTTTTGAATGGTTTGGAAAATGTGGGCTGTGAGGGATTCAGTAGGCACTTCTGAATCCATATAAATTACTTTTGCATCTCAGTATAATTCAGAGGAACACTCCATGGGAGCCTGATTATGCTTTTTAAATACTTCTCCCAAATTGTGAGTTACTTAGTGATAGCTATGCTCATGCTAATATTTAAAAAGTTATTTACAAAAGTGGTTTCCACAATTGTTGGACACATGCAAAATGCCAGAAACTATATTTGACTGCTATACGACATTAGCATGTTTTTTATACCCAACAAGAAGTAGAAAGAAAGCAATACTACTGATATTGCAGAGATGAGTAAACAAAGGCATAGATAAGTGAAAAAAGAGCCAGCTTTTAAACTAGGTGTGGTGACAGATCTCTTTATTCCTAACATTCAGGGAACTGAGGCAGGAGAATCTCAAGTTCAAAACCAAGCTAAGCTACATAGCTAGTCTCTATACACTCCTACCTTAAAGAAGAGCCATCCTAGATTTTAAAACAAATATACATCTGCTTGTCTTCAAACTCTTGTCTTCTTTTCTCTCCATTCCCCCATTGTCTCCTCTCCTGCAGGCAGAGAAGAATAGATATCTTCATCATTTCCAAGGTTCTATCAAATGCCATCATATTTAATCTTTTTTGGAAATTCTTAGAGGGAAATATATATTTGAGTTGATTAGTAACAAGCATTTAGTCGGTACCCACTATAAGTATAATTACAGGAATATCACACATTTTCAGAGATTGGATTTCCCATCCAATTCATATCATTTTTCAACACCTAACTTCTCTATTTATCCCCTTCATTTCCACAGTCTAAATTGATATGTTAACATCCTAAGTATTTCTATATCACTATATTAAATATTTTTGTAGGAATGTGTTAAAATCCCCATGTGACAGTTATTCTATTTGTCCTCTCTCTCTCTCTTTTTTTTTTTTTTTTTTGGGCAGGGGTATCTGGGCTTGAACTCAGGGCCTATACCTTGAGCCACTCCACTAGCCCTTCTTTTGTGTGTTAGGTATTTTCAGGATAGGGGCTCATGAATTTGCCTGGGCTGGCTTCAAACTGTGATCCTACTGATCTCTGTCTCCTGAGTAGCTAGGATTACAGGCATGAGCCACCAGCAGCTTGTCTTGTCTTCTCTTTTCATTGAGTCTAACTGAAGTATTTCAGAAACCTCTAAGGAGACCTAATTAGAGATGACTAAACCAGAACATGGAAGCCACCCAGTGGCCATGTACTCTCTTCTGCAACC